TACTAAGTAAATGGTTCCTATGTAAATAGTCATAACTCACAATTTAATAAAATTAAAAATAGCAAAAATATTCATTTACTTATTTATCAAAATTAACAGAATTAATAATCTAACTAATTTAACAGTGGTAGAGCCCACTTTAAAACACGAACAGGTCGGCTCGCCCACAGCAATAACATGACCACACAGAAAACAGGCGTGAAGTGAAAGCAATTCTGCGTTTCGTCTGATGAGTGGTGCCGTAGGCCTTTAGTCCATTTTCCTTCCCAACCATTATCTTATAGAAAGAGGATGGAAAGGGAACGTGGATTAGACGGTGGAGATGTATAGAAAGAGGAAATATTCTCTATATGTGCGTTTCCTCCGCCGGTCAAGAATAGGCAACGCATCCGCTATTGCATTTATGGGCAGTCGCTTCGCGATTTTAGTGGATTCCAGTGGCCGCTTGCTCGTTTACCACCTTATTACATAAAAAGTCCACGTTAATTTGATTTCAAAAATGAGAATTTTAAGTTTCATTTGATTCTATTACTATAGAGTAAGTTTGATGTATTAATTAGTTAATTGTGTGATTTAAAAACTTGCCTTTCACAGATACTACAGTTTACATAGGAGCAGTCGATTCTCAGCAGCTGATAGTCACCAATTTGCGAAACAAATCGGGCATATCATCAAGTAAGAAAAACGAATCTATAAAATACGGTACGAAAACTGTGTTATTTTTTTATATATTACAGCTATTAATTCTGAAAATGTATCGCTTTTGGCCAGTTTATTTCGTATTGAGTTCAAATTTCTTGTCAAATTGTTATATTGAAAAAGAATTTTCATGTCAAACGATGTACTATCTCAGATATATTTTACACTAGATTTCGACCGTGACTCCGTCCGCGTGAATTAAAAAAAATAAAACACAGCCTATGTTACGCATTGACAACATAGCTTTTTAATGGTGAAAGAATTTTAGAAATCGGCTCAGTAGTTTTTGAGTTATTTCATTCCAATCAAATAAACAATGTTTTATAATTTACAATATTAGTGTAGATATACTCGTAGATAAAGATAAGAGTGCTTCAGTAAGTTTGTAATGTCTACCTACCTTCCTAGGTTAAAGCGTGTTGTACACTTGATCTAAGTGAAATCTTCCAAATTTTGCCTTAAGTTTTGTGTTTGTACTTTACGAAGCTTCCATATCGTTTAACATCTGAAACCCACGCTGCTTCAAATATATTTTTACGCTATTTGATAAACATTGCTGTGAAAAATATATGGAAACCAGTGAAAAACTTTCTCAAGTCGGCTTGTAGTATTGAATTTGTTTTTCTTAAAGTTGTTTTTTTAAATATTTTGTATGATTTCTTGCTTTTTTAAGTTCAGTTTTTATGTACACGGGCATGCAATGCCATAAACTAAATTAAAAAAATAGCAGTCGTAGGTGACGTCAGGACAGGAATGAAAAAAAAAAACAATGGCCTATAATATTCTTGCATGCCAGCCACCTTCTAGTCTAAGTCTCGTCAAAATCGAATCAGAAAGTGTGAAAAAAACAATGATGGTTAGTATAATTCTAAAGCGTAAACACACACTTCTTTGTTGCCTAAGATGTTAGCAATTACAGCATATTTTTGAATAACTCTTTTTTTAATTAAAAGCCCTACACTTACATCATGCTTTAGACTATATATTTTAACGCCATTAAAGTTAGGAGGTAAACATTTTGGATGTAAACCCTAATGTGGGAAAGAGACTATAAGTTGCTGACAACATTAAGAAAGCAGGATTGCTAAGGTTTGTCATGTCATGTCATTTTGACATTTGCTTTTAATAATTTGACAAATGTACACAGTATTTTTTTTTAATTTCATGCGGATTAAGCCGCATGGGAACAGCTAGTTAGGAATAAAGCTTTATTCAAACATTAAAAGTAAACAATATAATATAAATCTTAATTTAATTGGGTCACAGAACAAGAAAGTAACTAAGTGTTAGAAAACAGGAAGTGTTAGAGAACAGCATTTACATGTTGAACTTTAAACGCCTGAAGACTTGAATTGTTTGATGGATATTTTATGTTGTACCAAAATAACACAACCTTTAAATATCAAACAGAATTTAAGGCTGATTAGTTGTTGCCCGTGACTTCGTCCGCGTGGTATTAGAAAACATACGAACTATATATATAACAAAAAACCACATATCTCTGAGAACCGGACATCTCGGGGATGAACCTTATCACATGTGTACTCCAGACTTTTTTTTATATATGTGCCAAATTAAGATATGTTGAATCGTTGCAGAATGATCGAGTAAACATTAAAAAACCAAATAAAAGAATCCCACGGGAACCGTCACTTTTTCCGGGGTAAAAAGTAGCCTATGTGTTCTATCAGACTATGATCTAAACCTGTGCCAAATTTCATTGAGATCCGTTCAGCCGTTTAGGCTACAAACGCTAACAAACATCCATCCATCTAAACTTTGGCATTTATAATATTAGTATTAATAAGATATAATACAATACAATAATATATGATATGATGATTTTTTAATCTACAATTATATAATTGTAACTCTCTACTTACTCTTTGCTTTATAGTTAATCTTTGATCTTTGAGCGAAGTTGACAGAACTTTTTAAAAACTAATAAAACGAATTTCATTTGCTTTAACAAACACAGACATAAAACTCAACTTACGTTAAGACAATTAGTTAACTTAGAATCAAGTGAGTAGTCGTTTGAGTTAAACTTTGAGGTTATGTTCGCAATTTATTGGTTACTTTGACTTGTGCTGGAAAAATATTTTGATATTTTTGTTGATTTGCTTAGCGTCAAAAACTAAAATGTAATTATTTTAAACAAGATTACATGCCGTCTGCAAATATATTCTAAATTGCGTCAGAATCGATACGATTTACAATTTAAACTTCTGTTTGTTGTTTTTTTTATAACATAAGGTGGCAAACGGGCAAGCGGCCATCTGAATCCGCCAAAATGACGAAGTGACCGCTGCCCATAGACATCGCAGATGCGTTGCCTACCCTTATACGACGAAGGAGACGCACATAAAGAGGATATTCTCCACCATCAAATCCACTTCCCCTTCTCATCCTCTCCTTATAAGAAAAGGGTGGTAAAGATAAAGGGACTTAAATTAGGCCTCTGGCACCACACTCATCAGACGAAACACGGAATTGCTTCACTTCACGCCTGTTCTGTGTGGTCGTGGTATTGGGGGCGTGCTAGCCCTACAGAGCTAAGATGTTAAAGCGGGCACTACCGCTGTGAAAAAGTTGTAAGAAAGATACATTTTATTCACGAAATTTAAATACAGACTTTAATGTTATTAACTTTATAGATTACTAGATGTCCGCGAGATCATCCACGCAATGTTATAAAAAAGTAACCTATAATATGCCCGTCTATGTCAGCTACCCTTCAGTGAAGGCGGCCGGGTAATCTTCGGCCCAGCGGCCGGAGATTACCCGGAACAAACGCGGCTTGCGGACAGACAGACAGAATTTTTAAATGCGTTTCGTTATCAGCAACTCAAATACATCATCTTCCCGAAATCTGGAATTTTTCTTTTGATATTACAGACATTCCAATTTTATTATGTGGACAGTTCGTTATTTTTAATCATAAAAGTTATTTTAAACGTAGAATAAAAAACATTCCTCCCTTCATTAACTCCTGTCATTAACAATAACCGCAGTAAAATAACTGCTACAGAAAATAGCTTTATCGATAACCGTTACGTAACTCGTTATTTAATTATTTTGTGGTTTCCAAAGAGTTTTGAATGCAAAATTATTAGTTATTTAATTTAGTATAGAAATAGATTATTAGAATAAACTAAAGCATAGTTTTATTGTTTCCACTAACGTTTGCCCGCGAATTCGTCAAAAAAGAATTTAAAAAAAGACTATGGTAACAGAGAGAATCGTAAAAGTAATTTTGCTCCATTACTCTAAACCGTTCATCTAAACTTTCGCAATTATATTAGTACTAGTCTCGCCCGCGATTGCGTTCGCGTGGAATTGAAAAACAGAAGTAAGTAGCCTATGTGCTCTTCCAGACTATCCTCTACATCTATGCCAAATTCCATCGAAATCCGTTCAGCTGTTTAGGCTACAAACTCTAACAAACATCCATCCATCTAAACTTTCGCATTTACATTAGTACTAGTTTCGCACCACGACTCCGTCCGCGTGGAATTAACAAACAAAAGTAAGTAGCCTATGTGTTCTTCCAGACTACCCTCTACATTTGTACTAAATTTCATTGAGATTCGTTCAGCCGTTTAGGCTACAAACTCTAACAAACATCCATCTAAACTTACGCATTTATAATATTAATTAATGAACTAGATAGTTAGATAGATAATAATTTTCTTTTAATATTCTAATATACAGACAGTAAAACCTTTCTATAGTAAAAATAGATGACTCTTTGATAAATGACATTTAAAATGTTTTTACATTTGACAATCTTCTGTCAAAAATGAAAATTTCCCCGTAAACGGAACACGCTCCGGATTTTACAGGTAATATTTTTAAATCACCATCACCAGCTCACTATATCCACACTGAGGGGGAGTCTACCCTGAGTGTAAGATGTCACAAATATCTTTGAATTTCTTCACTGATATCCATCACGTTTTCCTTCATCGTAACGTCAGGTACATATGAAAAATTGAATCACATTGGTATAGGATTCGAACCCAAAAACGAAACAAATATTTATTGGTGTAACAATAGATTCTACCAGTTATGCAGGGACTTCTTTTTAAGTAACCGTTAGGTACTTGTGATGAAGTCCCGCTCTTCCGTGTAAGGCACAATCCACCATACCGATATAATAAAGCGTAAACACACTAATTTGTGTCGTATCATGTCAACAATCACAGCATATTTCTGAACAATTTTTTACCCAGACCATTCTAGAATTCACGACCTGTAGATTACAAAGTGCTTAAACCATTACCATCAAAGCTAAACAAGATATATAAAATTTAATATGATTTCAGATACCTACAATGAAACATAACAAAGTACGATAGAAATAAAAATGCCGAAATCCAAATCTAGAGAAGTCAAAATAGTCCATTCAGATAAACGTATCGCTAAACTTGATGATGAATCGTTAAGGAAACTAACTGACGCTGAGGGGCCTTGCAACGAATGTATATGCAATCTAATAGACCCTCCAAAACCACCATTTGATATAAGAAATGCTATACGAAGTGCCATAGATACATTACAAATGTACACAGACTCTACTGCAAAATCCCTAGGTATTACTTCTTCAACTAACCTAGCAGGGCCTAGTGAAAAGGACAAGGAAAAAGCAAAAGCTAAGGGTGGGAAGAAGTAAGCGACAAAAGCAATATTCTTTTATCTATACTATTATAATAAAGCGTAAACACACACTTCTTTGTTGCCTGAGATGTCAGCAATCACAGCATATTTTCGAATAACTCTTTCTTTAATAAAAAGCCCTACACTTACGTCACGCTTTAGGCTATATATTTTCACTCCGTTTAACTTAGGGGTAAATATTTTGGATAAAAACTTTAATGTGTGAAAGAGACCATAAGTTGTTGCCAACATTAAGGAAGCAAGGTTGTTGTATGTAGTCGCATGGGAACAGCTAGTCTAAGAACATGCGACGAGACGATGGGGACATAAACCAGAAAGTGTTAAGAACGAATGTGGATGGCTACAAAGGTAGAGGAAGACCGAAGAAAGTAAGGATTGTGTGAAAGAGGATATGCTTAAGAAAGTAGTGGATTCAGATGACGGCTGATAGAGATGTATGGAGCAGCACATACTGTGCCGACCCTCCATAAGGGATAAGGGCAAGTTGACGATGATCTAAGAACGTTGACACTTCTGACTTGACTAATTTATATACGAGCAAGCACCTAAATCGTGACACAAAATGGCGGGAGTACCATAGCGAATTAAATTATACCACTTATCAAAATGGGCTCAAATGTACTATTTAGTACGTCGCACAAAAAAGTGCCTTCTCCAGAACAAAATTATAACGTTTCGTTACTTACACCCGCTATTTTGACTCCTAACCGCCAAAATGGCGATCGCTGCCCATAGACAGTCCCAATTGCAGATGCGTTGCCTACCCTTAATAGACGGAGACGCACATAAAGAGAATATTTCCCCTACCTATGCATCTCCACGGTCACATCTTTCCCTTCCTATCCTTATAAGAAAAAGGTGGTAAGGGCTAGGGACTTAAATTAGGCATGCACGCTATCAGACTGTACATGGAATTGCTGCCACTTTACGACTCTCTTCTGTGTGGTTGATTGTACAGAACGAACCCTACAGTGGGAAGTTAAAGGGAGCTTTACATTAAAACACACATATTACGATGTTTTCTTTACCATAAAATGTATCTTAAATGTACATTTGAAATACAAAACATATTAGTACAGTCGAGGAAACCGACGGTTCCACAGGAATTGCCTTCGTTTCGCCTTCGCAAACTTCGCCTCTACAAATAATTAGATAACAATGAATGCAAATAAATAGAAATTAACAAATTTCGTACAGATATTTTTATAAGTGCTTTGATTTATGTTCTTGTTTCGTTTCGAAATATTCAAGCGATTGTATCTTTTGAATACCGACAGTTTCCCCGACTGTACTTTGATCTTGGTCGTGATGTGTTGTAAAATTTTCAGGAAATAATTTATATCACAATGACTTTGGAACAATTAAAACAACTAGAATCTAAATCGTTGAAGGGCCTTAAAGAGGGCGTTTCTGGGCCCTGTGATGAATGCATATGCGCAATACTAACTACACCAGCGGACGCGTTAACACGCGGTAACTGCTTCAAGAGGTTATTTTCATGTTTTATTAAGACTAAAAAAGCGAAAAACATGAAATCTATTAACAGTGGGACTAAAAATAAGAAACAAGGCAAAAGTAAAGGTAAAGGGAAGTATACATCGAAGCCGGTGAAAATAACTAAAAGTAATAGGTTTAAAATAACGAGATGTTAGTTTATTAAATTCTTTTTAGTTACATTTTTGCTGTTTCTTTTGTTTTATCTATACTTATATGAAGAGGAAAGATTAGGCTTTTTGTATGTATTGAAATAACTCAAAAACTACTAAACCGATTTCTTTTTTTCACTATTAAAAAGGTACGTTATCAGTGAATAACGTAGGCATTTTTATTATTTAACTAGCTGTTACCGTGCGGCTTCATCCGCATGAAATTATGAAAATTTTATTTTATTGTTTACATTTGTCAAATTATCAATTGCAAATGTCAAAATGACATGACATGACAAATCTTAGCATTTTTTTCTTGATGTTGGCAGCAACTTATGGTCTCTTTTCCACATTAGGGTTTTTATACAAAATATTTGCCTCCTAAGTTTAATGGCGTGAAAATATATAGCTTTAAGCGTGAAGTGAAGGGGTTTTTTATAAAAAAAAAAGAATCAATCAATAATATGCTATAATTGCTGACATCTTAGGCAACAAAGAAGTTTGTGTTTACGCTTTATTATAAAATGTAGTATAGATATAATAAAATTGGAGTGTCTGTTTATAATATCAAATGAAAAATTCCAGATTTCGCATTTCAAAAATTTTTGTCTGTCAGTCTGTCTGCAAGCCGCATTTGTTCCGGGTAATCTCCGATAGCTGGGTCAATTTTGACCGGACTTTCACTGAAGAATACCTGACATAGATGGGGATATTATAGGCTACTTTATATCCCGGAAATAACTACGATTCCCTCTGGGTACACTGATTTCGTTATTGTCATTCCACGCAGAGGAAATCGCGAGCAACAACTAGTCCTACATAACAAAGTGTGTTTATTTTATTATATAGATAATGTATCGTCCCATATACATAAGCTCTTTGTAAGTTAATGTTTTCTTTAGTAATAGAGCTCTTGGTTAAATGGTTTTTGTACACTACTTTTGCATTAGTCGACTATTCATTGAACGGTTATTAAGCCTTTACTTGGCTATCAATTGCTCGAATATAAACGTCTTATGCCAACATTAGGTTTTATAGAGAACTAGCTATAGCTCGCGACTCCGTACGCGTGGAATAAAAACAGTATTTTTTTTTAAACATATGGTGACAAACGAGCAAGCGGCCACCTGAATCCACCAAAATGGCGAAGCGACCGCTGCCTATAAACATCCGCAATTGCAGATGCGTTGTCTATTCTTATGCAACGGAGGAGACGCATATAAAGAGGATATATTCCTATCCACCTCCTCCACCGTCAGATCCACTTCCCCTTCATCCTCTCCTTATAAGAAAATGGTGGTAAAGAGAAATGGACTTAAATTAGGCCTCCGGCACCACACTCATCAGACTGTACACGGAATTGCTTCCATTTGACGCATGTCTTCTGTGTGGTCGTGGTATTACTGGGGGCGAGCCCTGCAGTGCTAAGATGTTAAAGCGTACACTACCACTGTTAAACTACAGAGACCTAGAAAATTTTATACAAATATCGATAAAGTTACGAATACTATTTCGCAAGTTTTCGTGCTACCCTCTGGTTTCTTTACTTACTGCGTTAGCGCAGCGACCCAAAGTGGGTCTTGGCCTCCGACACGAGAGAACGCCAGCGTCGTCTGTCCTGCGTTGTCGCCTGCCAGTCGAACGACTCTTCTATAGTTTCTTTACTATCTTACTAATATTATAAATGCGTAAGTTTACATGTTTGTTAGAGATAGCTTAAATTGAACCAAAACAAATCTATCCTAGACTTATCTTAGATCTTAGAAAGATTTTATTTTACTAGTTTTATGAATGCGAAAGTTTAGATATATGTTAGAGTTTCTTTCTAGAGTTCTTGATGATTGTCATACATGTAGATAGTCTGGATAACATTGGATACATTTTTTCACGGACTGAATCGCGAGCAACAACTAGTATTACATACGTAGATTACATACAAAAGGTATTTTTGACCGAGTTCCCAAAACAAGGAGGTACTAATTCGTCTGTATGTTTATCTTTTTTAAAGAAATAAAATAAAGTTATAAAAAAAATATTTATTAAAAAAAATTAATACTATTATCAGAAATTTGTGTGAAAATATGGCCATATAGCCACATGGCCATATGCAATAAAGGTTTCATCCAGTTATGGCCAAACGACACTCTCGATCCAAGGTATATATCCGGCCACCCTGGTGTAGATGGCCGGCTGGCCGGGGTGGCCACATTCTCTACCCCATGAGGTAACCCCGAGCACTGAATACATGCAGTAGATATCCGGATGTTTGACTTGAGCCGGTCCACCGCTGTCACCCTGTAATAAAATACAAAGCTATTCAAATAATGTATAGAATAGGCAGTTATTTTACCGGTACTTTCTCTGAAAGGTACTATATTAGAGTTCAGTGCCACCTCACGTGACATGCAACAAAACATTACAATAAGCTCCTTTTATTATTATTTAGAGACATCTACTGGCCATTTAATTAAATAAAATTAATTAAATTAACAGTGTGGTTTTGAGGATCTATCAATAGATGGCGTCAGTGATGAATATTTGAAAAATGAATCAAATGAATTGGCAACCATGCCTCCTCTATATAATATTTTAATCTCTGTAATATTTGGTGGCAATAAACTTGACAACTGATATAGTATTTTTCAAAGAAAACACCAGTGAAAAAATTTCTTCAATAACTTATCTTTTTTTTTAATGTATTTTATTTCGGGCTAGATAATATCATGGCACTTATCTTGTTTAGTACACACACCTTTGACTAAACTATCGCACAACTGTTTAGTCGTGCTTTGAGTCCTATAAGCTTATATGGAGGTACACTACTCGTTAGTTGTGTAACTAAACAGTTGAGCTGCGAAACAATCGACAATCGCACAACAGTTGTTCGATTGTTTGGTCAAAGGTGCGCGCTTTTATAGTATATCTATGTTAACTCAAACCACGGACTATGGACGGACTAAATATGCACACTCGACACAACATAACGCCATAAACGTCGCGATTCTCGCACAGACTGGAGAAACACCCTTCGAGAGATCGTCAAGGAGAGTTCGCGACCCTCAGAAATGAGGAAACTGAGAGAGAGAGAGAGAGAGAGATGTTAACTCACATTACAGCTATCTTTTTTCTCATGCCAATCTCCGAAGCATATTTGCGTAGTACTATTGTAGCCTTTCTTCATGAGGCGGATACCTCGACTGTTTGGTGAATAGCTTTTGTAACATTCTTCATCGGAAAACTTCTGTAGAGTCACCTGTGGGATAACATAATAGGAAATATGCATGTATTATTTTTTTTAAACGATTCTACTTATTATAAAGTAACCAGAAAAAAATTGACGCGAAAATATTCAACCATTGAGCTAAAAATAATAAAATAAATTTACGACCATTTTCGAGCGACTAAAACGCGACCGGAGTTGTCATGAGACAATTGACGTCAATTGTCTTATTCCATTCATAACATACGCTCAGATTTCACTTCGACGTAAAAAACAACAAAGCTGCTCAAGGTCAAAAAGTCAAAAATCGATTCGTTTTTATTATTCCTGTTCTTAAGTTTGCAAGGAAAGATTGTGAAATGGCTTGCCAGGAGGGAATTACCTTTTGTAGAATGTTAGACATCTTGTTATATCTGAAGACGGTGGTCCCCCATCCTGTGACCATCGCGCTGGAGTCGTTAATCGGGTGACCATCGTACAAGCAGGCGGGCACCGCCAAGTTGTCCAGCATTATCCTGATTAAAATATTACCATTTTATCTTACTAATATTATAAACTAGCTTTTCCTAGCTGTTGCTCTCGATTTCGTCCACGTCGTATTAAATAAAAAAACGTAGCCTATGTTACTGACTGATAACACAGCCTTATAATAGTGACAGAATTTTTGTAATCGGCCAAGTAGTTTTTGAGTCATTTCAATACGTACAAAAATACAAATCTTTCCTCTTAATAATATTGGTTCATCATCATCTCCCCTGCCTTATCCTACTCCCTTAGTGACGGTGCACCGGGTTTTCGTCCTCCAAAGCACTCTATCATCCGTCATCTCAGTCATCACTCCCTTCTTGATCATGTCACCTTTCACGCAATCCATCCATCTCTTTCTAGATCTTCCTCTACCGATGTACCTCCACATTCATAATTAACATCCTTCTTGTTACATGCGATTCATCCCTTCTCATAACATGCCCATACCACTCTAACCTTTTACTCCTTATTTTCTCTACCACTGGGGCTACTTTGTATTCCAGACTATCCTCTACATGTGACAAACGAGATCCGTTCAGCAGTTTAGGTTAACTCTAACATCTAAACTTTCGCATTTATAATATTAGTAAGATGCGTTGTGAGGAACGTGGCAATTTCTGTAATTGGAATACCGATGATTTCTATGTCTTTACATATTTTTGAACGTAAATTTGTTTTGTTCCGTTAATTGAGGATTTTACAGTAAAAATAGTTCTACTTTCTCACTCTCTATCAGTCTCCAGAAGAGCGATATCGTTATATTTCTGAGGCGGCTTATAATCAGGGTGTTTGATGATCCTTTTGATCTTATACCGCCGCGAGCTGTCCACCTCCTGTGATCTCTCCAGGATGCCGACCTTCGCATCAGTCACTGGACCGCTGAAATGTATAAAATTATAATAAGATTTAGTCCTAAAGACCATTTAATTTCAAATGTTATTAGCGCCATCTATGTTAACGCGTACGGAAACAAAACAGCCAGTTACGTTTATACTTTAACATGATTCGGATATTTTACGCTAGGGTAGGTTCGGAATATCTTGTCTACTCGTCAAAGCACTCCAGCAACCTTTTTTTGATGGGGTGTTCGGAAGCAATCTCAGCAAAGAGATTCAATAAAATAAAAGTACTTGAAACATTTTTTACATAATATAATAATATCACTAACGCTATCTATCGATATATCCTCAAAACTCATTTGTCAATATAATTAATTGTATTATTACTTAGTTTACTTTTGTAACAAAAGATGGAGCTTATTATAATTGTTGTAAAATGTTTTATTACATGTTATACGAGGTGGCACTAAACTTGACAACTGATACCTTTCAGAGAAAGTACTGTAAAAAAATTTCACTGCGTCAATATTTCTTAACCGTCTTTGGTAACCGTATATATAAAATAAAAAAATTAAAAAAAAAAACAAGGTAAAGAACTAGAAAAAAAAACTACAAAGATAACAAGGTTGCTGCAAAAACATAGCAGCAGGAAATGAAGAATTTAAAAAAAAAAAACCGTCTTTGGATCTCAACTATCCGAGTTGAAAATATATTGTTTCACTTACAATTCCTTACTATAGATGCAATGTCCCGCTGTGAGGATGAACCTCTCACTGATCAGGATGCCGCCGCAGCCCCAACTCTGCTCTGATGTACCATTACGGAAGCCCAGAAGAACCTGGAATGTTACAGAATTCGTATAAATTCACAAAATAGCGAATAGCGCCATCTAGTTTTCGAATGGGGAAATTTTACATTTTTGTGACATTTAAACCCTATTATGATAATAATATTTGAATTAAAATAGTTTTAATTGTACTAAAAATGAATTGTTCCACTTTTTTTCTAATTAGAATAAGAGGAATGTAAGAAGAAAATCGACGTATAATATTAAGCTACTTGTTGTAAATTTTAAAACAGCGCCATCTTTTGACTAGTCTTTCTGAAATTCATAATTACACTATTCTGATAATTATATTTACATTGAAATTCTTAATAAATGTACTTGAACCAAATATTGATTTTTTTTTAATTAAAGGTAAGAGGGATGTAGGTTGAAAAACGACTGATCAATTTTAACATCTTCTTGTAAGTTTTAAAAGAGCGCCATCTTTTATTACTTCAACTAAAGTTTGTAACCTACCATATGCGGAAATTCTCCTTCATATGCATCTTCCCCGCCAATAATCAAACTGTCCGGTTTCCTGTTACAGAAATCTAAACGAATCATCCCACCTGATGGTGTATTACTTTCTCTACAAGGATATATCAATTTCTCCTGATATTCTAGACATTCTGAAACCAAAAAAAAACATTAATTTTTTTTTTATAACATAAGTTGGCAAACGAGCAAGCGGCCACCTGAATCCGCCAAAATGCCGAAGCGATCGCTGCCCATAGACATCCGCAATTGCAGATGCGTTGCCTACCCTTATACGACGGAGGAGGAGACGCACATAAAGAGGATATCTCCCCTTCCTATGTATCTCCTTCTCCGTCAAATCCACTTCCTCTTCCCATCCTCTCCTTATAAGAAAAGGGTGGTAAAGAGAAAGGGACTTAAATTAGGCCTCCGGCACACTCATCAGACGAAACACGGAATTGCTTCCATTTCACGCCTGTCTTGTGTGGTTGTGGTATTACTGGGGGCGAGCCCTGCAGTGCTAAGATGTTAAAGCGGGCACTACCATTGTTGTGAGATTGTCTATTGCTTCGCAAATCAACTGTTTAGTCGCACGACTAAAAATGGAGTGTTCACCTCCATATAAGCTCATAGGAATCACAACGAGACTACACAATTGTGCGACAGTTTAGTCAAAAGTGTATCGCGGGTATCGCGGGTGAAAGCTAGTGGTACAGAGTTGATAATTCTTTTACCAGATATATTGTTGGAGTTCAAGGGCCTGTCCCACCACTGATAGAGGCTCAGATAGCTTAAAAACGTATGAAAAGGGAACAAAAACATTGCATATTTATACGTTGGATTGTTATCAGAATTTACAATTTGGTGGGACAGGCCCTTAGCGTTTAAAAATATATACACTTATGGGTATTTAATGTATTCGTGAGGCATTTATTTCTTACTATCCCAAGCTTTTCTTCCTGTTCTTGCGGCTGTCAAATTTCGTGCAATCGGTTCACATGTCGATTGAACTGGGGTTGGCACGGTGCTGAAATTAAACGAATAAAATGTTAATTGGAAATGGTTTACGAAATGTACAATCGCGGTATTCTGTGGTGTTCCACTTATATTGCCTTTGTACCAACGAAACTCTGCCTCTTACCAATAACCAATAGCAGTGAATGCAAACGGAATAGTAAAAAAAAAAATTATTACAAATGAAGTATTAGTATTTTTTTGTTAATTTACTAATATTTCCTTAAACCATTCCAACTACGTTTTAGGCTAGAATGTTCATGATAAGTCGAATAGGGGTATTCGAACCCTCGACCGCAAGATCGGTAGTACTCAAAACCATTAGGCTATGTCGACTTTATAGACACATTTAAAGGCTGCGTATATGTCGATTATTATTTCGCATCTGTGTGCCAAACTTGCAAAGGACTCTAGATTTCAAGGCCACTGCCAGATTCCTTGATAGTACAATTCGATGTTTCTACAGTGAAGGAAAACATTAGGATTGTATCTGAGAAGAATTTTTAATATGTGTAAAGTCTATGCTGGCTATGGCCTAGTCACCCCTAACTTACGATATACTCCGTTTGGATGAGGGTATATTTAAAAACAAGAATGGATTCCTATCATCTGACAATATCAAAACAATCGACAATCGCACAACTGATATGCGATTGTCGACTGTTTCGCAATTCAAATGTTTAGTTTCACAACCTCCATATACACTCATAGGAATCGGGAAAAACAGTTGTGCGATAATTTTGTCAAAGGTGTGCGCTCTTAAGCTATCTGTGTACAGATTCCTTAAGTTAATTAAGTGTATAACTTACCCGAGTGGTGCGTTTGATCCATATTCCGAGGCTTTAACTCTCTCGACGCAACAAATTTTACCTTCGTCGTCTTTACACATCTGAAACACGAGTGGTAGAAAATATTATGACATGGGAAGGAAATGTATGGAATCGCCCATTCCGCTTTCCTAAAAGGAATCCTCTCCTGTGTAGAAAATCATGACTATTGTATTTTTTTTAATTAATGCATATCTAGAAGTAATATCGCTTTAGCGAATTCAAACGGTCCCTTTCTCTTTTTACATAGAGTATAAAACGAAATCGTTTCCCGTCTGCCTCTATGCATGCTTAAATCTTTACTACGCAACAGATTTTAATGTAGTTTTTTTATTGACAGTGACGAAGGAAGGTTTATTAATAGACTAGATGTTGCTCGCGACTTCGTCTACGTGCAATTAAAAGGTAACCTATGTTACTCACTATAATGTAGCTTTTTAATGGTGCAAGAATTTTTGATATCGGAACACAGTAGTTATTAAGTTATTTCAATGCATACAAAAACACAAATATTCCCTCTTTATTATTAGTATAGATATAAAGGTATAGAAGTATAGAAATACTGATAATTTTATAGGTTTCGAATGTGGTATTCGATTCACGTAAAAACTAATGAGCGAATTCAAAAATCCCTTCACCATTACAAAGGTAATTTATCTGTGTATTTTAATTATTATTTTAACAAAACGCAGACGAAGTCGCTAGTAACAGCTAGTAAACTATAAAATATTTACCTGAGGTATCCTTTTATATTTTCTGAAATCGTCAAGCGCAGTTTTACAATCAGCGAGGGGTTTGCATATACCTCGTTTACCATTTTTTGTGCAATCTGAAAACAAAACAATTTTTGTTACTGTAGAAAACCGATTCATAGGAGTAGCGGCACAACATTCTTTGACGTGTACTTCCCATCCCTAACATCTGTCAATGTCAAACAGAAGTTAAGTATTCGCGCCAATTATTGGCGGGAATAGACTAAATATTAAAGTATAATTGCGTTATTACAATTACGTTATTGTTTAAAAATACACACCTTTTGTTAAGACCAATGTAGCAATTGTTAACACAAGCAATAATTCCGTTTTCATCTCTAATATTTCAAATAAAGAATGTAATCTGTAAACAATAAAAGAAGTTCATTAAATTATATGTTACTGTCAACTTCATCTGCGTGGAACTTAAAAAAAAAGTATCATGACATTAACATTTTATTTAAATTACAACTTTATAATAACTGGCCATCGACAATCTAATGAAATAGAGGATATTTTTAGGCGCGAAATACAAGATGTGATACATAGATTAAAAAAATATACAGAGAACGCATACATGACACTTCACTTGACATATTTGACATAACTAACGACATCTATTGATAAATCCTCAAAACATGTTAATATAGTTGTATTTAAGATCCAATTTGATAACAAAACATGGAGTTTTATGTAGTTTGTCTAAATAAGATAGATTAGTTTGATAAATGACGCATATGAAGTATCGAATTCAATTTGTATGAAAATGCCGTACTTAGACAGGTATCGTAGTGACGAAACACGCAGCGAACAATTATGAACTATCGATATTCAGTTTATATAAAATTTATCGAACTTAACTAAAATTATTATTTACTTATGAACTAATTTAGAAGACAACTCTAGTATTAATTACATTGTAAAGAATTTAGCGATGACAATCATAACAAAAAAATCCAATTCGATTACGTAAGACTGTAACAGTAATAAATATTTACTCACTCTTATTATTTGTAATGGTTCTGCAAGTCATTATAAATTTGAGAAAACAGTGTTTTTGTAATTCATAAGTTATAACTATAAATCTATCGATTCCAACTTCTATAAGAATATAAATCGAAAATCGAAAAGATTCATGTTTAAACAACCCATCCCTACTAAATTGTGACATGAATTATCAAACAAATCTATCTTATTTAGACAAACTGTTGTAAAATATTGTATTACTTGTATATGGTAGCACTTAACTTGAACACTGATACCTTTCAGAAATAGTACCAGTGGAAAAACTTTGTTCACTGCCTCGTCTGACTTTGATGTGATACGAAATATTTATAACATTGTAAGAAATAAAGAGGTTATAAAACAACATACTAGTTTGTATATTCAACCGGATATAGCAATCATAAGAAGTCAATTAAAGTCAAAAGGTCGTGATTATTAGATTAAACGCAATAACAAATATCTTACTAATATTATAAATGCGAAAGTTTAAATGGATGGATGTTTGTTAGCGTTTGTTGCCTAAACGGCTGAACGGATCTCCATGGAATTTGGCACAGATTTAGAGCATAGTCTGGAAGAACACATAGACTACTTTTTATCCCGGGAATAGTTACGGTTCCCGTGGGATTCATTAATTTAGTTTTTTAATGTTCGCTCGATCATTCAGCAACGGTTCAACATGTCTTATTGAAATTTGGCACAGATATAAAACAAAGTCTGGAGTACACATGGGATAAGGTTCATCCCAGAGAAATGTCTGTTTCCCGAGGGATACGTAGCTTTTTGTAATTTACATATATAGTTGGTATGTTTTCTAATACCACGCGGACGAAGTCGCGGGCAACAGCTCGTTAACAATAAAATATAGTGATTTGTTAATTCGAAATCGATTAATACATTTGATTTCAAATTTTAATTTAATTTTTTACTTTTATTTCGTTTAACTGTGGATTTTTTATTGTAATAATTATGTTATTTTTAATCAAATAATTATGTATTTTATTTAATTTGTCTCGTGTTTTATTAGTATTTTATTAAATTATTTATTTATCTATACAAATATTATAAAGAGGAAAGATTTCATTTTAGATTTCTTTGTGTTTTTGGGTGTATTGCAATCTGTACTATACTATTATAATAAAGCGTAAACACACACTTCTTTGTTGCCATGTCAGCAATTACAGCACATTTTTGAATATTTTTTTTAATAAAAAGCTCTAGACTTACGTCACGATTTAAGCTATATTTTACCGCCATTAAACTTAGGGGTAAATATTTTGGATAAAAACCCTAATGTGGGAAAGAGACCATAAGTTGCTGCCAACATCAAATAAGCAAGGGTGTCATCATGTCATTTTAATATTTGTATTTATTAATTTGACAAATGTAAACAATAAAATAAATAATTCATAATTTCATGCGGATAGCACGGGAATAGCTTCAAAAATTATTTCACCATTTAAAAGCTACGTTATCACTAAGTAACATAGGCTATATTTGTTATTTAAATTCACGCGGACCAAATCGCAAATAACAGTTACTTAGATTTACATTTTAATATTATAAAAACTTAATATTTCATTTAATAATTCACTTACGTTATTAATTTTTTTATTTCATTAATTTACAATACTTAAGAATAAAGATTAACTTAAAAAAAACTTACGTTTAAAATTAGGTATGACGTCAGCTACAATAACCTTGAAAGCCTGTTTGTACATCTACAGACATCGCTATCAACCGACTGACCGATGTTATTGTATTCATTAATATTGCACCAATGATCTTAGACTAGCTGTTCCCGTGCGACTTCGTCCACATGAAATAATGAAAATTTTATTTTATTGTTTACATTTGTCAAATTATCAATTACAAATGTCAAAATGACATGACATGACAAACCATGGCAACCTTACTTCCTTGATGTTGGCAGCAACTTATGGTCTCTGTCCCACATTAGGGTTTTTATGCAAAATATTTATCCCTAAGTTTAACGGCGTGAAAATATATAGCCTAAAGCGTAGGGCTTTAGAGCTTACTAGGTAAGTTGAGGGCCTTTTTTAAAAAAAGGGTTATTCGAAAATATGCTGTGATTGCTGACATCTTAGGCAACAAAGAAGTGTGTATTTACGCTTTATTATAATAGTATAGAAAAAAGAAAGATTTGTATTTTTGGAAATAACTCAAAAATTACACGGCCGATTTCAAAAATTATTTCATCATTAAAAAGCTACGTTATCAGTTCTCACTTTAGGCTATGTTTTGTTTTTTAATCCACGCGAGCGAAGTCGCGACCAACAGCTAATAAATAACATAGATAAAAAGTTCAAAGGGTAACAATCTTATCATTGCTTTTGTGCGAGTATGATAATATACTAGCTTTCGCCCGCGAGTCCATCTGCGTGATATAAAAAAATAAAAACAAAAGAACCCTATGTGTCCTAGACTATCTACATTTATGAAAAATCGAGATCCGTTCAGCAGTTTAAGTTAACTCTAACATACATCTAAACTTTCGCATTTATAATATTAGTAATAGTAGGGGAGCCCACAATGCTAAATGGGAATTTACTCGAGCGTCGTAAAGACCTATTGGGGTGCGCTGGAGAATTTCTGATGGTCAACTTTGTTACTAATCTGATCCTGTATCCTTCTCGGGCGGCCTTATATATGGTCCTCATGTTTTGTGGAGGTACTTAACCGGGTACTAGGTATGCCCCTGAATATTAATCTTCCGCGCTTTAGTAAATCCCGGAATCCCCGCTTCGGCTTCCCTACTATAAGAGGTTATATTACCTATATGAATATCGAAAATTTATTAAACGAATGGTTACCTAAATGTTATTTTAATTGACCTCTGTTTTTATCACAGAAGGTCAAATATCAAGGTAAATACATCGTGATTTGTATATATCTATACCTATCTATACTATTATAATAAAGCGTAAACACACACTTCTTTGTTTTTTTTTATATATAACAAAAGGTGGTAAACGAGCAAGCGGCCGCCTGAATACGCCAAAATGGCGAAGCGACCGCTGCCCATAGACATCCGCAATTGCAAATGCGTTACCTACCCTTATCCGACAGAGGAGGAGATGCACATAAAGAGGATATTTCCCCTTTCTATGCATCTCCTCCTCCGTGAAATCCACTTTCCCTTCCCATCCTCTCCTTATAAGAAAAGGGTGGTAAAGGGAAAGGGACTTAAATTAGGCCTCCTGCACCACACTCATCAGACGAAACACGGAATTGCTTCCATTTCACGCCTTTCTTCTGTGTGGTTGTGGTATTACACCGGGCGAGCCGGCCCTGCAGTGCTAAGATGTTAAAGCGGGCACTACCACTGTTATAAGATGTTGTCTAAGATGTCAGCAATTACAGCATATTTTTTAATTATTCTTTTTGTAATAAATACCCCTACACTTACGTCACGCTTTAGGCTATATATTTTAACGCCATTCTTAGGGGGTAAATGTTTTGGATAAAAACCCTAATGTGGGAAAGAGACCATAAGTTGCTGCTAACATAAAGGAAGCAGATTATCATCATGTCATGTCATTTTGACATTTGTAATTTGACAAATGCGGACAAAGTAGTACGGGAACAGCTAGTTTATAATATTAGTAAGGGGTAAAATATTACCTATCAATGAATATCGACAATTTATTAAACGGATGGTTACCTAAATGTTATTTTAATTGACCTCCGTTTTTATCGCAGAAGGTCAAATATCAAGGTAAATAATCCGTCATTTTTATATATCGACACCTATACTAAGTTCGTTTCGATTATCATAAGAGCGCACACCAGAAACTGAACTATCGCATAACTTTTTAGTCACGCGCTTTGATCCCTACTAGGTGTTCCCATGCGACTTCATACGCATGAAATTTTGAAAATTTTATTTTATTGTTTACATTTGTCAAATTATCAATTACAAATGTCAAAATAACATGACTTAATGACAACCTTGCCTTGATGTTGACTTGATGTTGGCAGCAACTTATGGTCTCTTTTAGACATTAGGGTTTTTATCCAAAATATTTAACTCCTAAGTTTTATAGCGTTAAAATATATAGCCTAAACCGTGACGTAAGTGTATGGCTTTTTATTAAAAAAAATATTATTCAAAAACATGCTGTAATTGCTGACATCTTAGGCAACAAAGAAGTGTGTGTTTACACTTTATTATAATAGTATAGATAAAAATTAATAAAGAAACTTAGACTGTTTTACTCACAAACAATGCAGTCATTCAACGGTGATATCATATACAAATATTATAAATGCAAATGTTTAGATGGATGGATGTTTGTTAGCGTTTGTAGGCTAAACGGCTTAACGGATTTAGATGAAATTTGGTATAGATGTAGAGGATAGTCTGGAAGAACACATAGGATACTCACTTTTGTTTTTTTTTATTCCACGCGGACGGAGTCGCGGGCAAAAGCTAGTAAATATTATAAATGCGAAAGTTACGATTGATGGATGTTTGTTAGCACTTGTAGCCTAGACTGCTGAACGGATCTTCGTGAAATTTGGCACACGTATAGAGCATAGACTGGAAGAACACATAGGCCACTTTTTATCCCGGGAATTGTTACGGTTCCCGTGGGATTCAATAATCTAGTTTTTTAATGTTTACTCGATTATTCTGCAGCGGTTCAACATATCTTATTTAAATTTGGCACAGATATAAAACAAAGTCTGGAGTACACATGGGATAATGTTCATCCCCGAGAAACGACCTGTTCCAGAGGGATGCGTAGCTTTTTGTTATTTATATAGTTCATATGTTTTCTAATACCACGCGCACTAAGTCGCGGGCAATAGCTAGTATATCATATTATTTACAATATTGCTACATGCATATATGCGTTGATAAGTACATCACGATGTTTTCCATCACCGTAAGAACGGATAAATTATATACATATTCAGATAAAATCTTAGTACAGCACGAATCAAACCCAAGACCTGTTGATTACAAGTCAAATGCTTAAACCCCTGAACCACCCACGTGTTAGTCATAACGAGTAATTTCATTCTAATCTTACTAATATTATAAATGCATTTGTATGTCAGAGTTAACCTAAACTGCTAAACGGATCTTGATTGTCATATATGTAGAGGATAGTCTGGAACAAGCGATTCACTTATAAATTCTTTCCTCTACTATGATTTGCTTGATGTATGATGTGCCCGCTTTAACATCTTAGCACGAATAGGTCGGCTCGCCCGCTGCAATACCACGACCACACAGAAGACATGTGAAGTGGGTGTAATTCCGTGTTTCGTCTGATGAGTGTGGTGCCGGAGACCCAATTTGAGTCCCTTTTCTGTTCCGCTCTTTTCTTATAAGGAAAGGATTGGATGGGAAAGTGGATTTGACGGTGGAGGAGGCGGTTAGGAAGGGGAAATATCCTCTTTATGTGCGTCTCCTCCTCCGTCGATTTAGGGTAGGCAACGCTGAAATTGCGGATGTCTATGGGCAGTCGTTTCGCCATTTCGGCGGATTTAAGGCCAGTTGCTCGTTTGCCACCTTATTTTATATAAAAAAATACACAGTTTTCGTTCAGTATGTCCGTATAATTTATATTAATAAAACATTTTTATTTGTATTAATAAAACTACATTATAAGTAATATATTTATTGGGGAAAACATGCTTAAAATACCTAATATAAACACTAATCTTAAGAGCAAGCAAACCTTTGACTAAACTCTCGCACAACTGTCTTGCGATTGTCGATTGTTTAGCAGTTCAACTGTTTAGTTGCACAACTAACGAGTAGTGTACCTCCATACAAGCTCATAGGAACCAAAGCGAAACTATAGTTTGTCTAAATAAGATAGATTAGTTTGATAAATGACGCATATGAAGTATCGAATTCAATTTGTATGAAGGCAAATGCTTTACTTAATGACAGGTATCGTAGTGACGAAACACGCAGCGAACAATTTGGAACTATCGATATTCGGTTTAAATAATTATCGAACTCGACTAAAATTTTTATTTTCTTATTAACTAATTTAGAGGACAATTCTAGTATTGATTTTAGTGTAGAGAATTTAGCGATGACAGAAATAATAGCGAAATCCAATTCGATTACGTACGGCTGTAGTAGTAATAAACATTTATTTACTCTCATTATTTGTAATGGTTCTGCAGGTCATTATTAATTTGAGAAAACAGTGTTTTTTAATTCATAAATTATAACTATAAATCTATCGATTCCAACTTCTATAAGAATTAAAATCGAAAATCGAAAAGATTCCTGACTGATTTTACAATATCCATCTATACTATTATAATAAAGCGTAAACACACACTTCTTTGTTACCTAAGATGTCAGCAATTACAGCATATTTTTGCATAATTCTTTTTTTAATAAAAAGCCCTACACTTACGTCACGCTTTAGGCTATATATTTTCACGCCATTAACCTAAGGGGCTAAATATTTTGGATAAAATACCCTAAAGTGGGAAAGAGAAAATAAGTTGCTGCCAACATCAAGGAAGCAAGATTGCCAAGGTTTGTCATGTCATGTCATTTTCACATTCGGTATTAAGTATTTGACAAATGTAAACAATAAAATAAAATTTTCATAATTTCATGCGGATGAAGCCGCACGGGAACAGCTAGTACTTACTAATCGTCAAAAGAATTGTCAAACTAATCTATTTTATTTAGACATATAAACTGCGAGAGTTTAGTCAAAGCTGGTTTAAAGTTCGATAGACTTTTAACGATAGTAAACGAGTCTAGATTAGTTAGCGGAACTTTCGTCGACTCTATCGAGTATCCAATCGTAGTATTGATGTACAGCAGTGGTTGTGATTACAGACTCACTTGTTGCTAGCACTATACCCGCTACGTAGTATGCGTCGTCGTTTTGACGTAGCTGGGGAAAGATAAAATGATCATTACCCTGTCCTTATCCCCAATTTTAGTGCAGAGTATTATCTACCTATACTTTTATAATAAAGTGTAAAAACACACTACTTTATGGCGTAAGATGTCTGCAATCATAGCATATTTTTGAATAATTCTTTCTTTTACGACACGCTTTACTATATATTTTCACGCTTTTAAACTTGGGGGGGTAAATAAATTGGATAAAGCCCTTCATGTGGGAAAGGGACCATAAACTACAAGCTGCCAACATCAAGGAAGCAAGATTGACATAGTCATCATGACTTGTCATATTGCTATTGATAATTTGACAAATGTGAACAATAAAATAAAATTTTCATTATTTCATGTGGATGAAGTCGCACGGGAACAGCTAGCTATACTAATATCAAAAAGGAAAGGAAAGATTTGTATTCTTCTATGTATTGGAATTACGCAAAAACTAGTGGGCTATTTTGAAAAATCTTTCAGTGTTAGAAAGGTAATTTATCGGTGAGTAACATAGGCTATATTTCGTTTTTTTTATTTTCTCGCGCACGAAGGGACGAGCAATAGCCAGTCGCAAATAAAATTGAGGTAATAATGCTCTAACGATATTGTTACAAAGTGACAAACATTTCCACACCAGTCATACTAATGTTCTAAACTAGCTATTGCTAGCGAATTCCTGCGTAAAATTTATAGCCTATATACGTAGCTTTCTAACGGTGAAAGAAGTTTTGAAATCAACCCAGTAGTTTTTGAGTTATTACAATACAAAAATTCAAATCTTTCCTCTTTATAATATTAGCATAGATTTAAAGTTTAGATGGATGTTTATTAGAGTCTATAGCCTAAATAACTTAACGGATCTCGATGAAATTTGGTATAGATATAGAGGATAGACTGGAAGAACACATAGGCTACTTACTTTTTTTCCACTCGTGGTCGCGGGCGAAAACTAGTTTATAACGTAAACATACCTCATCTTGGCAGAGTAAAGCCGTCCCCTTCTCCGGTTGGTAGTCGTTGAGAGGCAACACCGCGCAGATTTGTCCTAACGCCGACTTTACATTGAAGGACTCACATCTCTTAGGTAAGGGCACCACTGTTGTTATCTAGAAACAAAAGGTTAGCGTGGTATGGACATATTATGCGACGAGACGATGGGGACATAAACCTGAAAGTGTTAAGAATGAATGTTGATGGCTGCAAAGGAAGAGGAAGACCAAAGAAAGTATGGATTGTGTGAAAGAGGATATGCTTAAAGGAGTGGATTCAGATATGGCTGATAGAGATGTATGGAGCAGCACATACTGTGCCGACCCTCTAAGGGATAAGGGCAAGTTGATGATGACTGTTGATATCTGTTGAACAAACAATGCTGGGTTTCTGAAGTTTACTGTAGTTGAATGTTTATTTTATTATTGAACTATAATCAGTATCGACTGGTTAAAAATAATTAGGAAACCGTCCATAAATCATCTTACTTCTTACTAATATTATAAATGCGAAAGTTTAAATGGATGGATGGATAGATGGATGGATGGATGTTTGTTAGCGTTTGTAGCCTAAACCGCTGAACGGATCTCTATGTAATTTTGCACTCGTTTAGAGTATAGTCTGGAAGAACATATAGGCTACTTTTTATCCCGGGAATAATTACGGTTCCCGTGGGATTCATTAATTTAGTTTTTTAATGTTTACTCGATCATTCTGCAACGGTTCAACACATCTTATTGAAATTTGGCACAGATATAAAACAAAGTCTGGAGTACACATGGGATAAGCTTCATCCCCGAGAAATGTCCGGTTCCCGAGGGATACGTAACTTTTTGTAATTTATATAGTTTGTATGTTTTTTAATACCACGCGGACGAAGTCGCGGGCTACAGCTCGTATAGAATAAAATAATGAGGTTTGGCTTAACAACTAAATTTATAAATGCGAATGTTTAGATGTTTGTTAGAGTTAATCTAAACTGAACGGATCTCGATGAATGTCATACATGTAGATAGTCCGGGACACATAGGCTACTATATCATCACATCATCACCAGCTCACTATAGGTGCCTTTTTTTTTCACGCTGGGAAAATGCATTTACGCATCCCCCCCATTACCAGGGGGGTATGTGGGACTCGCCGGCCGAGGATGGAGGATGGCCGGAATACCCACTAAAATCCCAGCGGTGTTCCTTCTGCCCGCCAGTGGCTGGGTCATGGGAACGCTCGTGCTTTCTTCCGCAACCCAGCCGGCGTCGTTGGCTTAGCGATCCCCGCTTGCCGGGGACGAAGTCCCCGGACTACTCGCAGGCGCACCCGGAACACCAGGGTGCGCCTGTGGATTTAGGGCGCGCGTTACGCTGCGCGCCCTACGGCTATAGACGAGGGGTGGCGGGGGAGGGAGGGCGGCAATGTATTGCCGCCTTCTCCGCCCCACTCGTCTCCATCGGATTGGGGGCGCGAGGGGATCTTCCTCGCGCTCCCGTTCTAGGGGTTCGGAGCCTACCCTAAGTTAGTGACTAAGACATAGTCAACCTGCACTGCGGGTTGACTTCACACATATCTTTGAATTTCTTCGCCGATATGTGCAAGTCACTTAATTTCTTTTAATTAAAACCTAATCGCCGGCGAAAGCTATAAAAAATAATCCAAAACCGCGTGTATACTTTTTTAGTTCCACACTAGCTTTTGCCCGCGACTCCGGTTAAATTAAAAAAGTTAGTAAAGTATATGTTCGTCCAAACTATACTCTACATCTATGCCAAATTATCCAGATCCGTTCAGCCGTTTAGACTACAAGTAAGTTAATCTTACTAATATTATAAATGCGAAAGTTTAGATGGATGTTTGTTAGAGTTTGTACCCTAAACGGCTGAACCGATTTCAATGTTATTTGGTATGAATGTAGACGATAGTCTGGAAGAACACATAAGCTACTTATTTTTTGACCGACTTCCCAAAAGAAGGAGGTACTCAATTCGTCTGTATGTTTTTTTCTATCTTTTTTATGTGTGTTACGGCATAACTCCGCCGCTAGTGGACCGATTTTGATAATTCTTTTTTTATCCGAAAGGTAATGCTTGCAGGTGGGTCCCATTTTTTTTGGTTGATTTTTGGAGTCAAAGACTACGACGTATTAGTTTAGCTCAAAATCGCGCGACGAAATTTCGGGTCATTTTTGCTTTCTTTGCTTACGTAGCCTAAACTATAAGACCTACATAAAAATGATGTATGGAAGAATTGTAGCCCTTTAAATTGTGTCTTTTTTAATTCCACGCGGACGGAGTCGCGGTCGAAAGCTAATAATAAATCGAGAAACAGTTCGTTAGTTTAAGTCAAAGATGTTCTAAGTCTGCTGTCCCTCCCAGAATCATGGATTACGAAATTCCTTCAACATGGATACATACATAGGAGTTATTGTCCGACATAGTGATGCATGTGGTCGCAGGTAACGGCGGCGCAGCGGGGAGACAGGCGGGGCTCACCCAGCCCGGCGCGCGCTGTGCACGGCTCAACACAACTAAGGCGATGTCATTCTCATGCTTTTTACCTTAAAACAAACATTTATTGTGGACTAACATTGGTATTAAAGCCGACTTTAGACGATACTAGTATCGGTACAGTAAAACAGATGGGGCGTATCTAGATTGTATTTAAATACAGATACAAGATACCAAATACGTATCATATATCTGATATCTATACTAATATAATAAAGCGTAAACACACACTACTTTGTGCCGTAAGTTGTCAGGAATCACAGTATATTTTTGAATAATTCTTTCTTTAATAAAAAGCCTTACACTTACGTTACGCTTTAGGCTATATATTTTCACGCCATTAACCTAAGGGGCTAAATATTTTGGATAAAAAAACATAATATAATATAATAAATAAGTTGCTGCCAACATCAGGAAAGCAAAATTGCCAAGGTTTATCATGTCATGTCATTTTGACATTTGGAATTGAGTATTTGACAAATATAAACAATAAAATAAAATTTTCATAATTTCATGCGGATGAAGCCGCACGGGAACAGCTAGTCTGAAATACTTTTGACTAAACTATTGCATAACTGTTGTGCGTTTGTCAATTATTTCGACGACCTATGGCCTTAGTTTTTAATTCTGCTTATCACAAAGCTAAGTCTTAGATCTGGCGTCCATTTTTGTCCAGCGCTCTAAACGAGCCCCGATATTCAAGCTTTTTTATGATATAAGGTAGCAAACGAGCAAGCGGCCTGAATCCACTGGAATGGAAAGCGACCGATGCCCATAAACATCCGCAATTGCATCGTTGCCTGTCCTTAATTGAAGGAGGAGACGCACATAAAGAGGACATTTCCCCTACCTATGAGTCTCCTCCACCGTCAAATCCACTTTTCCTTCCCATACTTTCCTCTAACAAAATTGGTGGAAAGGGAAAAGGACTAAAATTAGGCTTAACTTGTGAAAAGATATGGTTGAAATCGAATAGCTTAGAACCCCAATCATTTTAACTTACTTAAGCTAAAGGTAACTTACTTGGTGTGTAAGACGGGTGGATGATAATTTTACGAACGTTGATGACGTCATCGCTGTTCTTAATGAAGCTAATTGCTACGTCACTTGAAGACAGACCTTGGAGGCAACTTGCTGATGTCATCACAACCTCAGTACTTTCCCCAACAACGGTCCCCGCGCATAATACTTTGCTATCGCCGTATCTTTCCTTTCTGCGGACAATGCATACTCTATGACGTGTGTGTCAAAGATTATGTAATCCAGAGGTGTATTAACAGACTGCCAAATAAGTTTGTATGCGTATGTAATTTTTTTTTTTATGTTTTATTTTTAAACTTAACTACTTGACAGATTTTGACGAGTGATTCATTTGATTCGTCTTCTTCCCCTAATTTTAGTGTTATAAAATAAATAGAATAGCCTATAATTTAATTCTACATACAATTGACAATAAAATAAATAAAAATAAAGTTTTAAATCAAACAAATATTATAAATGCGAAGGTTTAGATGGATGTTTGTTAGAGTTTGTAGCCTAAACTGCTGAACGTATTTCGATGAAATTTGGCATAGACTTAGAGGATACTAGAAGAACTCACTTTAGTTTTTTTAATTCCACGCGGACAGAGTCGCGGGCGGAGACTATTTAGAAATAAAATAATTTACAAGTTACTCTTCTAATATTAGTTTTTTGCTTGTTTTCTGCAGATTTTTTTGCCATTCGGCAAAAGCCTCCGACCTTTTCCTCTCATGCTTTTTACGCGCTATTCTCCACATCACTGCCACACGCTTAATATCGTCATCCCATCTTTCAGCAGTCTCCCTCTTTTTCCCTTCCCTAGGGTGTGTTAGTATTAACTTACCTGTAAATCCACGCCCTCCAAGGGTATTCACCGAAAAGTACTGAACGGACTGTTGACTTTTTTTGGCTTCTTCCATTTATTGAAATTACGTGGTCTGTCGTTTTACCACACGTGCCACCGTGTGCCCTGAAAATAATTTATAAATACGAAAGTTTAGGTGGACGTTTGTTCGAGTTTGGAGATTAAACTATAGCCTAAATTGTCATAGATGAAATGCATGAAGTTATAAAAATTGTTTTATTGATTACATTTGTCAAATTCAATAGCAAATGTAAAAATGACATGATAACAAAGCATGGCAATTTTGCTTCCTTGATGTTGGCAGCAACTTATGGTCTCTTTCCCACATTATTTTATCCAAAATATTTACCCCCTAAGTTTAAAAGCGTGAAAATATATAGCCTAAAGCGCGACGTAAGTGTAGGGCTTTTTATTAAAAAAGAATTATTCAAAAATATGCTGTAATTGCTGACATCTTAGGCAACAAAGAAGTGTGTGTTTACGCTTTATTATAATAGTATAGATATAGATTGAAGCTTTAATTTACAAACACTTCTAACTAATAGCATTCCTCACATCACTATTCATCATCATCACTACTAATGGGTAGGAAATAAAATTCCCGTACTGTACCTGGTTCCTAAGTTCAGTTGAGGGACACAGCACACCGTTGTAACAGTAACGCAATCCACACTCTTCAATCTAAAACAAGGATGTATTTTTAGAGTGGTTATACCTTAGGGCAGCCGCTCATGGCAAATACATAGTACCAAGAGTTAATAATTATTACGGTAGAACAAATGAAAAACGTTTATCATACATGCTCAATAACTTACTACCTGAAATAGCAAATCTAAGTTTAAAATTTAAACTATTTGTTAAACATTTGGAAAGCCATCTTTTTGATAATAGCCCTTGAATTTATGTATATACAGTATATTATGTATGTATGTATTTTATGTAATTTTACACAAAAAAAACATGTCATAAAACTATCCTACACCACTACGACACTCTACATATGTTGTATTGTAAATTGTAACCAGCGCACCCGCGGACAAACCATTTATATGGTTTTTGCGGAGCCAAATTATTATTTTCTTCTTAACTAATTTAGAGGACAATTCTAGTATTGATAATAGTGTAGAGAATTTAGCGATGACAGAAACAATAGCGAAATCCAATTCGATTACGTACGGCTGTAGTAGAAATAAATATTTATTTACTCCCATTATTTGTTATAGTCATTATTAATTTGAGAAAATAGTGTATTTTTTAAATTCATAAGTTATAACTATAAATCTATCGATTCCAATTCTATAAGAATAAAAATCGAAAATCGATAAGATTCATGACTGATTTTACACAACCCATCCCTAATCAATTTGAAATGAATTGTCAAACTAATCTAAATTATTTAGACACACTATAACGAGTATACCTCCATATAACCTCATAAGAATCAAAGCGAGACTGAATTTTATTTCAAGTACACGTCACGTACAGTGTAGAAAAATTCTGTTATTTTTTGAGGTTTTTATCGTACACATTTTCGTAACATCAGACGATGCGAAGCCGGGGCGAGTCGCTATCGCTAGTCATACTTATAAATGCGAAAATGTAGAAATTGTTAATGGTTGTCATATGTAGAGTCTGGATAACACAGGCATTGGAGTCTCCGGTAAAAGCTACAAAACCAAAGGATATTAAAAAAATACTGTATTATAACTAACTAGCTGTTCCCGTGCGATTTCACCAGCATAAAATTATTTTATTGTTTACATGTCAAATTGCAAATGTCAAAATGACATGACATGACAAAACTTGGCAATCTTGCTTCCTTGATGTTGGCAGCAACTTATGGTCTCTTTCCCACATTAGGGTTTTTATCCAAAATATTTACCTCCTAAGTTTAATGGCGTAAAAATATAGAACCTAAAGCGTGACGTAAGTGTAGGGCTTTTTATTACAAAAAAGAATAATTCAAAAATATTCTGTAATTGACATCTTAGGCAACAAAGAAGTGTGTGTTTACACTTTATTATAATAGTATAGATAGGCATAGATGACACTTGAAACATTTTTCACATAATCTCAATAACCGATAGTCAAAATCACAAACAAACAAATAATTCAAACAATGAGAAGCGTCTTCAAACATTGAGATAGCCGTACAAAGTTACAGGTGAAAAAACATTCAGTCTATACATTTTCCAATCTATATCTATACTATTATAATAAAGCGTAAACACACACTTCTTTGTTGCCTAAGATGTCAGCAATTACAGCAAATTTTGAACAATTCTTTTTTTAATAAAAAGCCCTACACTTACGTCACGCTTTAGGCTATATATTTTCACGCCATTAACCTAAGGGGCTAAATATTTTGGATAAAATACCCTAAAGTGGGAAAGAGAAATTAAGTTGCTGCCAACATCAAGAAAGCAAGGTTGTCATCATGTCATTTTGACATTTGTAATTGATAATGTGACAGATTTGAGCAATAAAATAAAATTTTCACAATTTCATGCGGATGAAGTCGCACGGCAACAGCTAGTGTTTGTATAACATACTTACTGTAATCTCTTCGGTTCCGTTTTGTACGATTTGAGCTTCTCATCATCGCATAAATAACACTCATTACACGAGTCGTCTAACTCGCCGACAATTCCGCCGCAGGTAGCTCCTTTCCCTGCACGAGCTAGAGACAAAAAAAGTGTCTAAACACTGCCAGGGGAAGAGAGTAAACGAAATGTAAACAAATGACATGACTGTAGCGAATTGATACAATCCTATCTTAAAACAGAATCAAAAGCAAAATACAGTAGAACCTCGATAATTTAAAGTCCAACGGAAACACAAAGTATTTTAAGTTATAGAGGTTTTAAGTTATCAAGGGTCTATGTGGTAGAGGTTTTTGGCTCTGATGGGAAGGGAACATATTATTGGTTTGTAATAGGTTTGAGTTATCGTGGTTCTATTGTATACGTCCTCAATAAAGGGCTCCGAGCCTACCCTAAGGTTGACTAGTTGTTGATATATGTAAACTACGAGCTGTCGCCCGCAAATTTCGTTAGCGCTGATTAAAAAATAAGTCATCTATCACATTCCCGCGTCCATCTACCTTCAACCAGCTATGTTTCAGTCAAAATCCCGTCCAAATCGATCCACCCGTTCCAGAGATAGCGGTCCGGTCGCCATTTTGACAGTGCGGAATTTAAAAAAAGTAGCCTATAATATGCCCGTCTATGTCAGCTACCCTTCAGTGAAAGTCCGCTCGAAATCCGCATAGTTGTTTCGAAGATTACCCGTAACAAACGCGGCTTGCGGACAGACAGATAGACAAACATTTTTAAATGCGATTTTCGTTATCAGCTACTTCATTCAACAGATACTTCATTTTTATTATATGTATAGAGAAAAAACTATGTTACGTCTCTAATCTTAATCAAAACTAATATAAAGAGTAAAGATTAATCTTTGTATATATTGAAATAACTCAAAAACTACTGGGGCAATTTTAAAAATTCTTCCACCATTTGAAAGGTAATTTATCGCCAAAAGCTTGTATATTAATAATACTCACGTTCTTCCGAAAATAATGTTTTCAATTTCATTTCTGCTTGTCTTATTTTTAAGTCTTGGGTGTGTACAAAAGTTGCCAGTGTTAATATTATCCATAACCTGCAAGAAAATATCTATCTATACTGTTATAATAAAGCGTAAACCCACACTGCTTGTTGCCTAAGATAACAGCAGTTGCAGCATATTTTTGAATAATTCTTTCTTTAATAAAAAGCCCTACACTTACATCATGCTTTAGGCTATATATTTTAATGCCATTAAACTTAGTGGGTAAATAAATTGGATAAAAACCCCAATGTGGGAAAGAGACCATAAGTTGCTGCCAACATCAAGAAAGCAAGATTGCTAAGGTTTGTCATGTCATGTCATTGTGACATTTGCTATTGAAGTAAACAATAAAATAAAACTTTCATAATTTCATGCGGATGAAGCCGCACGGCAACAGCTAGTATACTAATAAAATAAAACGTAATATTTAGCATTTAACTTACTTCATCTTCTTTGTTTGTTTGTTCTTCTATTTTATGTTATCTTTGGTTTTTCTGAAATTAATATTTAAATAAAATTAATATGTTAATTGACCAACATTGAGTTAGGAAGAATATCAACTCAATTTTCTTCTATTAATTTATGTATGACAGTTGTAATCTCACTTTAAACTATACTAATATTATAAAGAGGAAACATTTGTATTTTGGTTTTTAATTTCAACGGAAGAAGTCGCAAGCAACAGCTTGTATATATCTAATATTAATGTAAAGAGGAAAGATTTGTATTTTTGTATCTATAGAAATAACTTAAAAACTACTGGGACAATTTTAAATATTCTTTCACCATTAGAAAGGTAATATATCTGTGAGTAACATAGGCTATATTTTGTTACTATTAATGTTAAGGAACCATAAAAAAACAGCGTATTTCTGGAACCCGGCGTTAAAAAATCACTACATTTTAACTTTTCTGACTTACGCCTTTAGAGGTATATAAAAACGATGTATGTGAGAATTGTAGATATCAAAAAGTTCTATAGAAAATTTGAAATAACTCAAAAACTATTGGGTTCATCATCAACTTGCCCTTATCCCTTATGGAGGATTGGCACAGTATGTGCTGCTCTTCCATACATCTCCATCGGCCATCATATCTGAATCCACTCCTTTTTTAAGCATATCCACTTTCACCCAATCCATTAATAATTTCTTCTGTCTTCCTCTTCCTTTGTAGCCATCCATATTCATTCTTAACACTTTCAAGTTTATGTCCCCATCGTCTCGTCGCATAACATGTCCATACCACGCTAATCTTTTGCTTCTCAATTTCTCCACCACTGGCGCTACTTTCAAACTTCCTCTAATATACACATTCTTAACTTTATCCATTCTTGTCCCACCACACATCCATCTTAACATACGCATCTCAGCCACATGCAATCTCCTTTCATCCGCAACTTTGGTGGCTAACATTCAGATCGGATTCAGCTGCAAAAAATACAGCATTCAGATCCATACAATACGACAGGTCTTATGATTTACTAATAGATCTGTTCCTTAAGCTAAAAAACTACTGGGTTGATTTAAAAAAATCTTTCACCAATAAGTAGTTACGTTATCAGTGAGTAACATAGGATACATCTATACTAATATAATATAGCGTAAACACTACTTTGTGGCGTAAGATATTAGGAATCATAGCATATTTTTGAATAATATTCTTTCTGTAATAAAAAAAGCACTAACGATACGCTTTAGGCTATATATTTTCATGCTATTAAACTTAGGAGGCAAATTAGAAAATCTTCATGTGGGAAACATAAAAGACAAGTTGCCAACAACAAGGTTATGTTAACGGTTATTTTGTCATTAGAAATGGAGAATTTTAGAAATGTAAATCTTACTTATCTTACTAATATTATAAATCCGAAAGTTTAGATGGATGGATGTTAGCGTTTGTAGCCTAAACGGCTGAACGGATCTCCATGAAATTTGGCACAGGTTTAGAGCATAGTCTGGAAGAACACATAGGCTACTTTTTATCCCGGGAATAGTTACGGTTCCCGTGGGATTCATTAAGTTTTTTAATGTTTACTCGATCATTCTGCAACGGTTCAACATATCTTATTGAAATTTGGCACAGATATAAAACAAAGTATGAAGTACACATGGGATAAGCTTCATCCCCAAGAAATGTCCGGTTCCCGAGGGATACGTAGCTTTTTGTAATTTATGTAGTTCGTATGTTTTTTAATACCACGCAGACAAAGTCGTGGGCAACAGCTCGTAATAAAATAAAGTTTTTATAATTTCATGCGGATAAAGCACGGTAACAGTTACTTTATTATAATTTTTATTACCAGACGGACGAAGACGCGAGCAACAGCTATAATTTGATATTTTCCTTATTATTGACAGCAACTACTTACTTTATTGAACTACGTTAGTTCAAAAGGTTATCACAACTTCGCACTGGGTTTTTTTTTTAGATAAACTTCCAATCCGAAACATTTACTGCAAAGTTAACGAGTCATACATTAAAAATTATTGCAAAATATCTTTTAAGTGAACACTAAACTTAATTAAAAAAACAACCTATTTTATTAACTTTATGTCTCTCATTGTTTAACCCTAATAGTATTGTCTTGAAATCTATATCTACGAGTATATCTATACTAATATTATAAAGAGGAAAGATTTGTATTTTTGTATGTATTGAAATAACTCAAAAACTACTGGGACAATTTTAAAAATTCTTTCACCATTAGAAAGGAAATTTATCTGTGAGTAACGTAGGGTATTTTGTATTATTGTTTTAATTTCACGCGGACGAAGTCGCGAGCAACAGCTGGTCTAATATAAATACGAAAGTTTCGATCGATGGATGTTTGTTAGAGTTTCTAGCCTAAACTATTTAACTGATTCCGATCAAATTTAGTATAGATGTAGAGAATAGTCTAGAAGAAGACATAGGCTATTCACTTTTGTTTTTTTTTTCACACGGACTCGCGGACGAAAGTTAGTTCCAAAATAAATGTTTATTACCACATCTATTTGCAGTTCTCCATATTATATTATTTATATATTTCTCACTATTTCCTTATGAAATACAAATTATTCGTATTAATATCATATTTACTTACGTATAGGAGTAATCTTATATCAAATTGACCCTGAACTCAAAACCAGTTTACATTTACGTGTTTTCCAACCAATTGTACGAACAAAACTAAACAACTAGACGTGTACAGTCTGAGTCTGAACCGGTTCATAAGATCCGCACACAACCTTGAACCGCTGAGCTACCACTCAACTCTTAGCTCACGGTAGTAAAAAAAGTGGTTATTGTGCGACAACCATAATAATTAGATATAGGCTATCGCGGACTTTTATTTAGCTAATTAAATGAGCTACAATTCTTCTATACACCATTTTTATGTAAATCTTATAGTTTAGGCTACGTAAGCAAAGAAAGCAAAAAGCACGCGATTTTGAGCTAAACTATTCAACTACGTCGAAGTCTTTGACTCCAAAAATCAAACAAAAAGATGGGTCCCACCTGCAAGCATTACCTTTCGGATCACAAAAAAAATTATCAAAATTGGTCCACTAGCGGCGGAGTTATGCCGTAACACACATGAAAAAAACATACAGTAAATATTTCACGGCTAGCATTTATTATTATCCCTTCGTCTCCGAACAAGGCACTTTTTTTTAATTTAATGGCGATGATTTCCGTGACGCAAAATGAGTTAACTAGGAACCGGTACACTAAGCTTTATGCGAACAGATCTGCAGATCATCGTGATTTACCCATGACTATAAATAACATGTTATTCATAGCTAAATATCAGTTACAACTGCTTTTGTTAATCAGTTACTGTAGTTTTCTTCTTGGATTTACATGCTTTTTTTTTTATAACATAAGGTGGCAAACGAGCAAGCGGCCACCTGAAACCGCCAAAATGGCGAAGCGACCACTGCCCATAGACATCCGCAATTGCAGATGCGTTGCCTACCCTTATACGACGGAGGAGGAGACGCACATAAAGAGGATATTTTCCCTTCCTATGCATCTCCTCCGCCGTCAAATCCACTTCCTCTTCCCAACCTCTTCTTATAAGAAAAGGGTGGTAAAGAGAAAGGGACTTAAATTAGGCCTCCGGCACTACACTCATCAGACGAAACACGGAATTGCTTCCATTTCACGCCTGTCTTCTGTGTGGTCGTGGTATTACTGGGGGCGTGCCGGCCTATTCGTGCTAAGATGTTAAAGCGGGCACTACCACTGTCAAAATTATGCGATTATTTGTATGTGAATTTGAATCTAAATTTTTGAATTCCATTGCGAGCTGTCTTATGCTGGTTTTCTGAGGTTTTTATTTATTTTATAATTACCTAGTTATTTATTAGTGGTAAAACTTAAGTAAAATAGTTCGAAACTAATTTTATGAATATATCGAAGCACAATCGAATGGTTAAAAGTAGTTCGGAAACCGCCCATTAACCGAAGAGGGATTCGATTACTAGCGCGTATCTGTCGCTGTCAGGGTTTTCACAAACCAAAAAGTTTAAGAACCCGAAGAAAAAGACGATATTGTATTGATAATAAATCACACTTCATACTAATATTATAAATGCGAAAGTTTAGATGGATGTTTGTTAGAGTTTGTAGCCTAAATAGCTGAACGGAACTCGATGAAATTCGGCAAATATGGAGGATAGTGTGGAAGAACACATAGGCTAGTTACTTTTGTTTTTTTTTCTATATTAAGCGGACGGAATCGCTGGCGAAAGGTAGTATTATAAATGCGAAAGTTTAGATGGATGTTTGTTAGAGTTTGTAGCCTAAATAACTGAACGGAACTCGATGAAATTCGGCAAATATGGAGGATAGTGTGGAAGAACACATAGGCTAGTTACTTTTGTTTTTTTTCTATATTAAGCGGACGGATTCGCTGGCGAAAGGTAGTATTATAAATGCGAAAGTTTAGATGGATGTTTGTTAGAGTTTGTAGCCTAAATGGCTGAACGGAACTCGATGAAATTCGGCAAATATGGAGGATAGTGTGGAAGAACACATAGGCTAGTTACTTTTGTTTT